TGGGGTAGGGGAACAAGTGGGGGCTCCTGAGGGGGGAAATGCCCCATCTGAGTCATATTTCCCCCATAGTCTTCTGCGCCCCTTTGTGCCCCCTCCTAGGAGCCCCCCTGTGCCCCCGCCTCCTTTCAGTGCATAGGACTCTGTCAACCAGCCCACAATGGTTCCTTCCGCACTCCCATTCCCCTGCCCGCACAATGGTTCCTTCCGCACTCCCATTCCCCTGCCCGCACAATGGTTCCTTCCGCACTCCCCTTCCCCTGCCCGCACAATGGTTCCTTCCGCACTCCCCTTCCCCTGCCCGCACAATGGTTCCTTCCGCACTCCCCTTCCCCTGCCCGCACAATGGTTCCTTCCGCACTCCCCTTCCCCTGCCCGCACAATGGTTCCTTCCGCACTCCCCTTCCCCTGCCCGCACAATGGTTCCTTCCGCACTCCCCTTCCCCTGCCCGCACAATGGTTCCTTCCGCACTCCCCTTCCCCTGCCCGCACAATGGTTCCTTCCGCACTCCCCTTCCCCTGCCCGCACAATGGTTCCTTCCGCACTCCCCTTCCCCTGCCCGCACAATGGTTCCTTCCGCACTCCCCTTCCCCTGCCCGCACAATGGTTCCTTCCGCACTCCCCTTCCCCTGCCCGCACAATGGTTCCTTCCGCACTCCCCTTCCCCTGCCCGCACAATGGTTCCTTCCGCACTCCCCTTCCCCTGCCCGCACAATGGTTCCTTCCGCACTCCCCTTCCCCTGCCCGCACAATGGTTCCTTCCGCACTCCCCTTCCCCTGCCCGCACAATGGTTCCTTCCGCACTCCCCTTCCCCTGCCCGCACAATGGTTCCTTCCGCACTCCCCTTCCCCTGCCCGCACAATGGTTCCTTCCGCACTCCCCTTCCCCTGCCCGCACAATGGTTCCTTCCGCACTCCCCTTCCCCTGCCCGCACAATGGTTCCTTCCGCACTCCCCTTCCCCCAAACCCAGAGTAAAGCCCCTAATAAAAGTGCATCACCTGGGCGAGGCTGCTGCCTGACTCGAGCCTTTCAAACCCTTTCAGATCTTATTGTGCAGGCAAAATCCGGCACTGGCAAAACCTGTGTGTTCTCCACCATTGCCCTCGATTCCCTCATCCTGGAAAACCCAGCAACCCAGGTGAGCCTCCCTCAAGATGTGGTGTGGCCTGGGAATGTCTGCAGGTCCTTGTCCAAGCTGTTTCAATAACCATAGAGATGATCACCTGGACCTCAAGTTTTACACTGAACGCCATGTGCAGGACAGGATATTGGTCAATTTAGTCTGGGCTATGTGGCTGTCCACATCTTGAATGAAGTTCAGCATGTGATTCACTGTCAAATCTCAGTGCGTTGGTGCCAGAAGTTCCTACTGAGAATGCAGTGCTATGGAGCTCTTGACTTATTTTGTAATTGATGTTCGTAGTAGATAGCTTGATAGGTTATAATGAAATTAATATGGGGTGGGGCCATAAGGGAAACATACATGCTTTTTTGGTTGGTCATTTTTAGGTTTACAAGCACAAAAAGGCACCTTGTTGGCTTGACAACCTGTGTGATAGAGTTCCGTGTATATAATTGAATCCGTGTGCTTCAGGTCTGCTGTACAGGGTTGAGGGAATTGAGTCTCAAGTTATTGATTTAGGGGATGAAGGAGAGAACCTGTTCAGTAAAAACTGGACTTGACTCCCAGCAGGTGTTATTCAAGGCATGAAACAACAGGGGTAAAAACTTTGTCACTGGCAGCCTACATTATAGTTAAAAAGGTGATGTAGAGGTAAAAGATCTGTCTCTAATCCAGTGAGCCATCACTGTCCCTTCAAAGCCAAATTCTTTATTATTTCAGATCCTGGTCTTAGCTCCAACAAGAGAAATTGCAGTGCAGATTCATGCAGTTATCACAACTATTGGAATCAAAATGGAGGGCTTGGAATGTCATGTCTTCATTGGAGGGACTCCTTTGAACCAAGACAAAATGAGACTAAAGAAGTGTCACATAGCTGTAGGCTCTCCAGGTAAGAGCACATTTGATTGATTCTACTTTAGTCACAATTCAGTGAGACACTTTTCAACAGTCAAATAATTGGTACATAGATGTACTCTTGAATTCTTGATTTTTTTTGTTCCATTGTTACGGAACAGTTTCAAAGTCTGAAGCTATAGAAAATATGACCAGAGAAGTATTTTTAGTGAGTGATTACTCTGAATGTTCTATTTTAAAAAGATTTATTAAATAAGTGGGTTAGGTAAGGACTCTTTGATTTGCAATGAGTGTCCTGACTCAACTAGATTATTTTCATGAATATTTTTGGAGCTCAAGTTTCTCTCTCATCATGTAGGTCGCATAAAGCAACTCATAGAATTGGACTGTCTGAATACAGCCAGTATCCGCCTTTTCATTCTTGATGAAGCTGACAAGCTTTTGGAAGAAGGCAGCTTCCAGGAACAAGTCAAGTAAGAACAATGCTAGTATTTCTCTCATACATCTAGCAGCTGTTGAACGTGCAAAATCTTTCAGCTATTAAATATGCATTATGTGGGATACATTCACTTTCAATATCTTACTCTCTCTTAGCTGGATTTATTCTTCTTTGCCAGCCAACAAACAGATGCTGGCTGTTTCTGCTACTTACCCTGAATCACTGGCTAAGGCTTTAACCAGGTACATGAGAGACCCTACCTTTGTGAGGCTGAACCCTACAGATCCAAGTCTCATTGGTATGTATAAGTTGCACATCCATAATTTGAACGGCTTAATGCAAATCTGAATTTATTTACTGTTCAGCTATGAGTATAATTGGTTAAAAACAGTAACAGTTTCAAAATATTTCACTTTTTACTTATAGTATTGGTTGCCCTAAAAGTGCTTATACCCAAACTTCTCTTAACCATTCTCTCATCCTAGATTCTTAGGCTGTTTTTCTCCCTGTTGAGGAGTATCCTTTTTCCATAGCTTGAAGAAAAGATTTTAAACTTTAAATAAGAGTAGCTTGTCGAATTCCCACTTGTCATGTGACTAACTAATTTCAGTTAACTAATATTTCCCTGTTTCCAGTCCTTATTCTAGGAACAACTATGTATTTGAGTCAGTATTTTTTAATACCAATTCATTGTTTGTTTTGTGTGACTTTTCAGTACTGTAAACCTTGCCATGCTTTTATTTCTTGTACAGGGCTGAAGCAGTATTACAAAATTGTGAATTCTCATTCACTTCCCCATAAGACTTTTGAAGAGAAGGCTCAGCATTTGCAGGAGCTTTTTAGCAAGATTCCATTTAATCAGGCCTTGGTCTTCTCAAATCTGCATAGCAGGTAACAAGAATTTCTTAAACTAAGAATATGGTGTTTGTAGATATTGGTGAACAGTGGCCATAATATATTAAATTTTTATAGCACTTTCACAAAGTTCCCAAATTACTACACAGACTGCATGCAGATTTCTGTCTGAAATGCTAGCATTTCTGGAATAGAGGGCTGCAGCTTCAACAACTCACACTTTCTACTAAGTGTGTCAAGGGGTAAGGGGAATGTTCACATCACGTAGTGCTGTGGGAACTAGTGTCTGTGCACACTTGATTTTTGAAGTCTCGGCTGAAAGATCCACCAGTTGCAAAATTGCAAACTGTCCTTGTATCTAACTTGTGAAGATGAATGGCTGATTTAATCTTTGACTGTAAAGGAGTAAGAGTTCAGATCTGGGGCTCAGGCTGTTAAGTCATCTTCAGTTCGTCATCTTGAAGAGATTCTGGAAGTATATAATTTTATTTGTAAACCTTTATGTGTATGTTGTATTAGGGCTCAACACTTGGCTGAAGTACTGACATCAAAAGGTTTTCTTGCTGAGTGCATTTCAGGCAAGTCCATTTGG